TATACTTAGTGGTAGAATTTGGGCTTGAATCTAGGTCTATCAGTTTCCAAAGCCCCCCAACCTATCTGCTAACCACACTGCCTCATGAACTGTCTCAAGTGCAGGATGCTGCAGGATGATGATTGGCTAGAAGGCAGAAGATTCCTTGAGTAGGAGGGATTTGTTTTCTCCAGAACGTCTTAGAGTCTTTCCTGAAATGGCCTGCCTAGATCTCAGTATCTATTTTGACATCTGCTGACTAACATTTCTCTCTCTCTTCTTCTCTCCCTGCCTCCCTCCCTCCTTCTTTCTTCCTCTTTAAATAATATGAATACTTCTTATAATATCCAGCTCCATTCTTTCCATAATAAACTAGAAAAATGGGAGGATTTGGGTTAGAGGTAGATTCATCCTCTAGAATAGTGAGGTCTGAAGGATGCAGATGGAAAGACATTAATGTTGTTTGAAAATGGAACACTCCCCTCAACTGCTTCAATGTAGATAATGTCCCAGAACTGTCAAGAGCTCATTTAAGATGTCCTTGACTTTAGGCAGTTTTATGATCTATCTCTCAAGATTTACTTCTTCCCTGGACACTTATCAGAGCATTCATACACACAATGAGCTCTTCAGTCATACTCATGAGAATTTCTTTCATGTGACACTTATTGTATGTTTAGATGTATTGTGTACATTTCTAACTAGATCAGGAATTTATTAAGATTACAGATTTAGTCTTAGGTCTTTGCTTCTTTCTCAATACTTTCAGAATAATATACGAAATAGGACTCAATAAATACATACTGAACACATGTATTTTACTTTGGGATGAAGAGAAAAAGAACAAATGCAAACTGTTTTTGTTTGAAATGTATAAGTATATTTCAGTTGTCTCAAATAATATCAGGATAGTTTCCATAGACAGTCTTTACTATATTATATTAAGCTTGGTTTTTAATATTTATAATAAATTAGCATATTCTGCTATACTATAAAAATTTATTAATGGTTAGCTTTTCACCAGGAGCAATGAGCTAAAGAATCACTTTTTAAAGTTCACTGTTTAATTCCTTTACCCTTTATATTATTTCTTTCCTTGTTCTTCAGAAGTGTGAGATAGCAGCCCATGGGGGAAAATGGCATCAAATTTACAGGCACAGCAAAATAAAATTAGAAATCCTTATTAAAGTGTATATGAGGAGGAATATGGAATATGATACATTGGGTTGGGGGATGCAGGTCAAAGACGTGAAAAAGAGTAATATCTTTGAGGAAAAAAAAATAACTGGTAAAGCTGTTACAGTATTTTTTCCATGCCTTTAAAAAATGGGTTGGTAGTAACTTGTGTTTAGTTTTTGTATTCTAATAATACAAACTTGTATATATAGTGATTTATGCACTTAGACACTTACATTTTTATTTTCTCCAAGGAAGCTGAAGGACTGTAGTATTAAGTAATTTATTCATGACTACATTGACAGTAATTAAGTAAACCAGGCTGTAATCTATCTTTTGATATCAAGTCCTTGGTCTTTAAACTCCATGTATATAATTAAAAAAATAATTGTATTAACCCTCTCTGTGAGAAATATCTAATTTCCAGTTAATTTCCTTTGTTCAAATGTGCTTATTATATTCTAAACCTGAACTGTGAACAGCCTCAATTTGTCCTGTACCTTAAGCAAAGTTTTATATAATCTTAGTTTTTATGGGGTTCTTGTAGAGCATATTTTAATTCAATTTAATTTAATTACTTATTATTATGCTACCATAGCCTCTTTTTAAAAAAATATTTTTCTTTTCTTTTACAAAAATAATGGATTTTTAGTAAGAAAATAAGTAGCATTTGTGGATACTCAGTAAGCACCAAACACCTCCCTGAATGATTTTGTAGACATTGTTTAATTTAATAATACAGTTCAAAAAAGACCCCTCATAATTCAATATTCACTCAACAAATTTATTCATAAATGACTACCATAAAACAGATATTGTGTTATGATCTGGGGATACAAAGAGAAATAAAATGTATTTGCCAATGATATGGGGTTCTTTCTAGTTAGAAAGAGAAGAGAGACAAGGCAGATAAGGATACAAATATTGCAGCTGCTATGATAAAAGTATATGTTAATTTTTAATTGATTAAATGGTGCAACTTGCACTTTTAGGTGATAGGGAAATGGCACCGAAACAGACACAAACCTCTTCTCTCACAGAGCCGATATTCTAGGAGGGATCCTAAGGAGCATGAAAGAGCAATCATTTGGGGGCACAACAGCTTAAGGAGGAAAGGTAACATTTCTTTCCGGTATTATTTAAAAGAACAAGCAAGCTCTAATTGACGGAGAAATGGCTACTAGAAATCCTTGGAGCATGATTTATATATCAAAATGATTAAGTGAACATTAAAAATAGAACTACTTTTCAATGTGTAACCTCACACCCTTGAAGTAATGCATATGGGTGTTGTGAGTGGCTGGTTTCCACTGTCAGGGTCCTTTCTGGAGCCAGCCAGTTCCTAAAGCTGTCAGTTCTCTACATCTGTACAACTGTCAAAGATAAATTCATTTAAAGCTAAATAAGGTAGAATGGTACAATTTGTCTCACTTGATTCAGTAGTAATGTGTTCAATTCTGTAGCGTACGTTCGATCAGAACAGATTTTTCTTTCTTAAATGGAAGACTCTTAAGGATGTCGAACTTGTTTTTACTGTTGTTCAGTCTTTCTAGCATAATCTAAATGTGCCATAGCCATCTTATTCTTGCCTTGTGCAGAGATATTTCCTTGAAGTTATCTATACATTGACTTTGGTGAACCATCAAAATTTAGGACAAACTATTTTCATAAAACGACATTGAGTAAGTTATTCAGGGGCAAGATTTTCTAAATGGCCTAAAATACCCACTCTTGCAGCCTCATTTTGTTGTAAAATTAAACAAAATAATTAAAGAATGTGAAATGCACTTTGAAAACATCAAATGCCAAAATCTTTTGAACTCCTACAACTGATTTTATTTTTATTGTTAATTTCAGTGAACAGGGAGCTAGATATTAGCTTCAAGAATTATTTCTCCTTCAACCACATTTTCAAACTAGATTTTGGGATATTAAAAATTAGCAAAAATGACTGTGTTCTCTAAGAACATTTCATGTAAGCCTACCTGTGAATCTCTTTGTAGCCCTTATAAAACTACTTATCTCTTTACATACCATTATTTGTTATCAGATTTTTTTCTAAGCATACTTTATTGAATCTACTTTGCTTATTTAGTAAACAATTATTGAATGTCAACACTGTGCTGGGCACTAAAGAATTTTACATGTAAAACAGTTTCCGTCAAAGGAAGGTGAGAATCAAAAATATCATTATATTAGAGATTGGTAATTCTTTGACAGACATATTTAATGTTATCAGTTATACATCTAATCTAGTTTTTCTTTTCTTAGTATATCATCTCTCTGTAATCTTTCTTAAACTTAAATATGTATAGAATAATCTGAGTAGCTTATTAAAATGGAGATCCTTGGCTCTGCCTCCAGAAAGAATCAATAGGTCCCGGAATCTGCATTTTCATTATGGTAACTGGTAACCTTGGACTTTACTCAGAGAGAGTCCTTTTGTGATATTTCCCTTTTGCCCAGGACTTCTCCTAGTGGAGGCTTCAGAAGGCCTACGTTCATCACACCATCTGCCTGTCTCAATGTTATCCAAAACTGCCAATTTAGATTATCCAGCACTACCTTCCTTCATTACCTTGACTTGAAGTGATCCTCTGTAGTGATGTGCCGGCCTTGTTGAAGTCAGTTGTGTTTAATCTTCTGAGAAGGATACCAGTAATTGTTGTCTCACTTAAAGGCTGATTCTAACGGTGAGATATCTGGAAGAAGATGATGAGGGAATGCACCTCTCATGACATGATAAGAGAATTATTTTAAAGAAGGTCTTGAATAAAGTCAGCTGAGAACCACTTACCTGTAGGGAAAACTCAACAAGTATTAATCATTTAATCCTCCTAACAAATCTATGAAGCAGGTACTGTTATTACATTCATTTTACAGATGAGGACACTGAGGCTCAAAAACTTTACCAATATCACATAGATTCTAAGTGGTAGAGCAGGGATTTAAACTCAAGTGGGCTGGCTGCAGAATTCAGTGGACCACTATACGAGTGTTGCCTTTCTCTTAGTCAAAGGAATGTCCTGTGCAACCTTTGCTATCACCATTCCTTTAAGAATGACTTTTAGTAAATTACACTAACAATTGGAAAAGAAACAAAATTACAAATCTCTAAAGTAAAACAAAACAAGGCAAACACTACATAAAATAGTTTTGGGTGTATTTTTAGGTCAAAGATGTATTTCAACCTCACATTACAGGACATTTCTAGTAGAGAAAAATGAACCCAAAGGACACACGAAAACATATAGTAACATATCTCAGGTTTTCAAGAGAAAAGATAACAACTCAATTTTTATTTTCTTCCCTGAAATACAGTTTACTCTCTGGTGAACATAGTTTTCTGAGTCAGAAAGATCAAACTTCTAATTCTGCCCTGTTGTTTACTTGTTTGATAACCTATGACAATTTGCTGACCTTACTTAATTCTCAGATTCTCTGAAATGTATGTGACAAACAAGGTTTGGTCAATATTGAAGACATAGTGCCTGGAATATAGTGATCCTTCAACAAGCAGAACTACCTGTTTATTGTTGTTATTATTATGAGCAGTGATAAACTTAATTTAGTAGAATAAAAACAAGTTTAGACAGAATGCTTTGGGAACAATAAATATATTCTCAAATTTTACTTGGTGCTGAATCGTTTTCTTGGACAGGTAAGATTCAAATGCATATAATCTTATTTTTGTCAAGTGACAGAAAGAAGATAACTATTAATGACAATTCCCTCTTCCTTCTTCAGTGGTCTGTCTGGTTTATAACTTAAAGTCCTGATTATAAAATGCTTCTTTTGCTCCCTTGAGAATGTCTCTTCTGAGATAGCTCATTTATCTTCACCAGGTGATCAACCCAACACTCATCAACTGTTAGCCATGGCGTCACGCCTGCGGGAGAGTGCTGAACTTTTTCAGTCTGATGAGATGCGACCTGCTAATGATCCCAAGGAGAGAGCGCCCATCCGCATCCGGATGCTGAATGACATTCTTCAAGACATGGAAAAAAGCTTTCTGGTGCAGCAGGTGCCACCAGGTTTTTATAGGTAGGATGCATGTCTAAAAAAAGTATACTTTTTGCCCTAAATTAAATGTTTATGTGTAACTTTCAGAATATGTACCTTCTATGAACATAACAGTATTTAAGAAGAAACTATAAAGCAGTTACTCATATAAGGAACTTCACCCTCCCCTAAAGAAAAGTTAAACTGCATAGATATAGAATAATGGAAACTTGGCTTGACAGTAGCATAGGAAAATCACTAAGAATTTTCTTACATCAATTTCAATATGAATCTAATTTTATATGGTCAATGAAAAAGCAAATGGAATTATAGGTTGCACTGAAAGAAATATACTTTCTTGACTGCATCAGGAGATACACCCATGCCATATTGTCCTAATCCCAACTAGATTAATGTGTTTAATTCTAGAAACTACATTTTTGTTGGAATTCAATAAATTTATTATGTAGGGGAAAGTGGGATCTGGATGGATGTTGGAACAACTGAGGAATTAGGCTTATTTGGTTGGAGAGTTACATGGAGTGCTGTATGAAAACATTTTAACAATTATATGGAAGGGGGATTAGATACAGACTCAGAGGATAATATGAGTACTGTATGGTTTTGTTTTTTAAGTTCCTTATATAGCAGAGGGTAAATAAAAAAAGATGAAGTTTAAAAGATTATGGTACCCATCAGTCATCAGAAAAATACAAATTAAAACCACAATGAGAAACCATCTCACACCAGTCAGAATGGCTATTATTTTTATTTATTTGTTTACTTATTATTATTTTTTTGAAAATCTAAGTATTTTATTCAATGATGGCAATATCCAATTTTGTTTTTTTATTCCTATGTCTTTTTAAAAAATTTATTTATTTTACTTTAGATGCATACTATGTCTGGCATTTCTCCCCGTGTTATCCCTCTCCACCCTCCTCACCCCCTGCTGTCTCTCCCCTACCCCCCACAACTGCCCCAGTGTGTGATGATCCTCTTCTACTATAAAGATACATGCACACATATTTATTTATTTTTATACTTTAAGTTTTGCGGTCCATGTGCAGAATGTGCAGGTTTGTTACATAGGTATACACATGTGAATGGCAATTATAAGAAAGTCAAAAAATAAGAGATGGCAAGAATGCACAGAAAAATGCTTATACACTGTTTGTACAAATGTAAATTAGTATAGCCTTTCTATGTACTTGGAAAACAGTATGGAGATTCCCAAACAACTAAAAATAGAATTACCATGTGACTCAGAAAGTTAATTGCTGGGTATCTACCCAAATGAAAACAATTTTTTATATCAAAAAGATACTTCCATTCATGTTTATCACAGTACTATTCACAATGGCAAGGTCATAGAATCAACCTGAGTGTCCATCAACATATGATTGGATTAAAAATATTGCACATGTACTCTATTCTCAGTATTCTATATTAAGCAGTCATCAAAAGGAATGAAAGCATGTCCTTCTTGGCAACAGGGTTGGAGCTGGAGGTCATGATCCTAAGTGAAATAACTCAGAAACAGAAAATCAGATACCACGTGTGCTCGCATATAATTAGGAGATAAATGATAGATGCACATGGACATACAGAGAGAAATAGACACTGGGATTGCAAAAGAGGGAGAGTTGAAAAGTTACATATTGGGTACACTGTTCTCTATTTGGGTGATGGGTACACTAGAGGCCCAAACTTCACCATTACATAATATATTCATGTAACAAACCTGCACATATACCTCCTAAATCTCTAAAAATTTGAGAAAAAGATTATGGCATATTTAAACAGTTTTTATTTAACTTATAATTCTATAAGACACAACATATAAATACATACCTTTCTGTTTAATATATACATACATAATTGTGTATTTATATGGCATACTTAATATATGTACGTGTGTATATATAGTATACATATATATATTTACGTATATATATTTCGTGTGTGTGTGTGTGTGTATGTATAATTTTATGTAGTGTGAAAGTCTAAAATTTGTGACCCTTTAAGAATGAAAGTTCTGGGCTAAACAGTCCTCCTACTTCATTCTTTCCCCAGT